GAGTATCCCAAAGAATCTAACTTGATATGGAGACTATAGAGTAATGTGTTAAATATATATAGGTGTGCACCTCCTTATTACTAATTCATTTTATGAAGGATATGACTTCAATTTGATCATTGAACATTGAGTTAATAAAAAAAAGTCCAGGATGGGTGACCCACGAGTGCGTATACCGTGCAACCGGTATACGGTGAGCACCGTATACCGGGACGGTTTTATTTTTTTTTTTTTCCTTTTATTTTTAAAAAATGGTTATAACTTTTTTATTTTTGATCCGATTTTTATAAAATTTATATCAACATTTTTTATTTTTCTCGATCTTTCAAATGAGACCAATATTGCCTATGTAATTTTAACATATTAACATTTGTGTGTAAAATATGTAACTTTAAGTGTTAAAATATGTAACTCACGTTCAGTCAAGTCAAATGCAACTCGTGTGTATAAATATGTATCTCTACGTGTAACAATATGTAACTTTACGTAAAAAAATATGTAACTTGCGTTCAGATAGGTCAAATGCAACTCGTGTGTATAAATATGTAACTTAACGTGTAAAAATATGTAACTTTACGTGTAAATATATGTAAGTCGCGTTCATGCATGTCAAATGCAACTCGTGTTTATATATATGTAACTCGCTTTTAAAAAGATGTAACTTGCTTATAAAAAGATGTAACTTGTTTATAAAAAGATGTAACTTGCTTATAAAAAGATGTAACTCGCTCATAAAAAGATGTAACTCAATGTATTATCAAATGTAACTGAGGCCACTGATCCACTCTCACACAGATTCGATCTTCTATTTCACAAACCTATCATCTCCCAAACAGATTCGATTTTCCTTATAATCCAATACTCATTAATATAATAGTTCGATAATTTCTTAAAATTACATAAGCAATATTGGTCTCATTTGAAAGATCATGAAAAATAAAAAATGTTGATATAAATTTTATAAAAATCGGATCAAAAATAAAAAAGTTATTATCATTTTTTAACAACAAAAGCAAAAAAAAAAGGGAGGGGGCAAGCTGCGTCGTTTTGCAACCGGGCACACCATCCTCATGGTGCGCCGGTTGCATGGTATAATTTGCGGTGACCCACAAGTAGTATGAAACTATACTTTATATTTAATCGTGCGGGAAATAGTTCAACACGCTATGACTTAATAAATACGGAGTAATTGAGTACTTTCTTTGTCCCAAAAATAATTTCAGCTCGGTTTCCTTAACGTATACTTAAGCCCGTTTGTATAATCGCGTTTTGAGCAAACCGTTTTTTTTTTTAACTACAAACGCTGCTAAAAGCAGCGTGGGAACCGCTGAAAAACAAATAGTCCCTCAGTATACCCCGATTCCTGATGTTAACTTAATTACCGTTTGCATAAAAGTAATTTTCAATAACAAAATGTTTCAATTACTCTTACTTCTTACTTGAGTTGATATTCTAAAATAGAGATATAATTAGAAACCCCGAATAAAGTTATAACAATTTGACCACTAAAATATTGAATCGAGGGAGTACGTACGTAAGTATTTTTAATAACAATTGGATATTTTGTTAGGGCATGTAATCCAAGTACATGTGAATCAACATATTCATGATGATCTGCTAGAGCTCAATATCTAATAATACAATATAATCTGCTTTTTTGTTGGACAAACAATATCGCTATCTTGATGAAATTAAGTGATGATCTTATGCAACATGGCGTGTAATAGGCAATAACTATACATCTCACTATCCAATTAAACAATTCTTTAACGCGACAAAAAACTAATCATGATTGAATTTACGGATTTCTTTCTCCCCCGACATAGCACACATTCGTTTACCATCACACGCATGTCCGCACTTGTAACATGATTACCAACAATTTAAACAATTATGAGCTCGTTTGGTGAATCTGTTTTTCGGTTTATCAGTTTTATCAGCTAAGTTTTTAATCAAACACGTAACTTTTGATTTCACGCGCTGAATTGTGTAATAACAAGAAAAAGTAAGATTGAAGCTACTTTTCCGATTGTATTGATTTAATTTACCGTGGATAATTATTTTAGCTGTTTTTCATATACTTTTTCTTTATTTTATTGATAAAATATACGGAGTATTTAAATTTTTTTTCTTCATAAATCAACATAATCAGTGAACACAACTATTCCAGTCATAAGTTCATAAATTTCAGCAGAATCAGACGATTCAACCAATTTCAGTGTTACCAAACGGGCTTTATGTATGACTAGCTTTTGTTATGAAATCATATGACTAGGATTATATCAACTCCGCCATTTTTTGCAGAAACATTCACTAAAAACTGTAATAACTAGTAGTAATAAACAAACTCTTTTTCTGACTATACCTACAATAAACCAAAGAATCCCACTTCTTGAGAATACATATAAACGAATGCCAAACAAAGATCATATTGAATTGCAAATCATATTATTAGAGCTTTGAAAATTAGTTCGGCCGTAAGAATATTTTTTAATTAGACTGGATTTTTTAATCTAATTCAATCTATTTAAGTCTTGTCTCGTAAGATGAAGTAAATACTTTTTTATGTTACTCTAACCTAAACGTATTTTTAATTGGACTGGTTCTAGTCCCAAACCAGACTAGATCTGACACGATTTAAATAGAATTGATCAGATCAGACAAGACATGGTTAGACCGAAAAATTTCAATTCAACTAGAAACATCCTAAGTCTGGTTTGATGTGGTCTGATATGCTTTTAGTACATCTCGTTACTTCTGATTAGTAAGCGAACAAAAACAAAATTGAACTAGACAACACAAGCCTCCTAAAAAATGCCCTACATTATAATGAAGGATATATCGGTTCATCCCATATATCCTTCCACATTCACATAGTTTGAGTCTCTCATCTTCCTAATCGTGCCTTTTAGCGTAGACCGGTCCTTCACCCGTCGAATTTAAAGAGTCCTCCCCAAGGACCCCAACTAACCCTTCCTCTTCTTTACTAAGCGTTCATTAATATCATTCAATACTAAATCTCTCTTTCAGTCCCGTCGTCCTATAATCTATAAGTGTTCATTAATATTTTGATACTCAATTTCACGCTTCCAGTACTCGATACGTGTAAGATAAAATATCTGATTGTACGGTATAGGCTCTCAAAGTAATTTTACATTTTTATGGATAAAATTAATAGAAGTAATATGGATTCCAAGAAGGGTAATGTAATCACGTAGGATTCCATTAAGTCTAAGAAAGAAAAAAGTTCTAGAAAATTGTAGAACTTTCTAGAGAAGTATAGATTTTTTTGGAACGTTCCGGAGAAATCTAGAGAAGTCAAGAACTCTCTAGAAGCTTGTGGAATAGTGTGTAATCCTCTGAAATATTTTGGAGATGTGTGAAATCTTTCGGAAACTTATGGAAGAGTATGAAAAAATATGGAAGGGAGTGAAAGAGAATAGAGACTCCTAGAGTGTGTGGAGCATTCTAGAGACTTAATCTTCACGTACTCTTGGATACAAATCATCCCCACCATTCATTGTGAAGGTGGAGTATATAAATAGGGGTAGGAGGCTTCATTCCTAACCATCCTAGCGAGAGTGAATACACTTCTTAGAGTGAGAAAAACACAGTGAGGGAGCCTCTTTGAGAGAGAAGAGAGATAACTTGGGAAGTCTCTATCCTTAAGCTTGAGTGACCCACCATTGAGTGAGACAATTTTGTAACATTCTTGTAAATCATATTATTCTTTTGTATAGTGGAAGAATCTCCATATTGGAGAATTTAAATCATGTATTCTCATTACTACCTTAATTCTTAGTGTCTATCTTAACTTCACGAAGCGGGGAAGTCCGAGTTTTTCCCAACAATACATTTCTCCCTTCTTATGTGATTTTCCTCCTATGTATTTTGTGATTTTAAAAACAAAATAACAAGGGTAAATGATAATATAGAAGGTATATGATAAATAAAAAAGTAAAAAGTAAAATACGAAGTATATATCAATAAAAGGAACGTAATAAAAAGTAGAAACAGGAAAGTAATTGGTAAAAATTTAAAAAGATAAGAAGTACTCCGTAATAAAAATGAGGGTATAAAAACAAGAAGGGAAAGAGAGAAGAATAATAAAAAACTTTTAATATAGAAGAGGGAGTAGAAAAAGGTTTTTATGAATATCACTAAACTAAATTCAAAAAACAAAAATATGACTTACTTTAAAATTTTCAAAAAATGATATATTTAGTGATCAGTTTCCCGTGACTCATCATCTACTAGTAACTTGTGACTTTGAAATTAACTATACTGACTCTTGTCGAGTTGCTCGTACATAGCACGTGACTAGTACTTCGTATATTTTTGTCCAAAAATATGAATAGTCATATTTTTGTCCTTGAAGACTCTGAGCCGTTTGGTAACACTTAAATTTGCTGAATCGGTCGATTCTGCTGAAATTTATGAAGTTTTGGCTGAAGTAAAGAAAAAAAATTATATTGAAAAATAGCTAAAATGATTCTCTACAGTAACTTCAACCAATACAGTCAGAAAAGTAACTTCAACCTTACTATTTCTTATTACTACACAATTCAGTCGCGAAATAAAAAATTACTTATTTAATGAAAAATTGATTGATAAGTTTGAGAAGCCAAATCAAAGAGTCACCAAATAAGCTATATCTATTAATAGTATATATGCTATTTTTACTGAAAAAACTGTTAATTTTAAATACTCACCCCGTCCCATAAAATTCTTCCCATTTTCCTTTTTGGGCCGTCCCACAAAATTCTTCTCATTTATCATTTTTGAAAAATTTGTGTGGTTCACATTCATTTCACTTTTTTCTTACACAACCACAAACATACATTTCCACTTTATTCCACTTTTTTAATCTTCGTGATAAATAAAAGTAGGAAGAATTTTATGGGAGATGAAGTGCGTACAAAAAGAAGAATGAGGTTGACGGTTGACCCATCCATATTCGTTGAAATTCCGGCAACCTCGATTCAGTAGCCTATCCATTATACGAAGCCGCCCCAAAAAGCTTTGTTTTCCTCTGCAGTAGTACAGACTCTTTAAATTATTAAAGGATAATAACGCCACCCCTTTTCACCAGATACTTGACTCTTCCAACAATGGAGGCTAAGGCTTTCAGCTTGCTCAAGTACTGGCGCGGCGGTCGTGGACGCAGCCTCTCTTCAGGAGACGGCGAATTTGCTGCTACTTCCACCGTCGGTAGAAAGACTGTTGATAGTTCCGCTCGTCAGCATTTCGCTGACTCGGACTCCGGCTCTGACGCAGAGGACGATGGTCCCTTCTTTGACCTGCAATTCACCGCCGTTACGGAGGATGAAGACGACGGTGAAAATGAGGATATGTATGGTGATGTTCAGTTTTCCGAGACAGACGGAAGATGCAACTCCGGTGAACCAGACAGCGAGAGAGAAGGTGAGCTGAAGCTGGCCTTCTCACCATCCTCTGCCTCCAACGTTGACGGCGGAAACATTTCACCCTCTCCGCCGGACGGTATCGTAACGGCCTCGGAAGTGAATTCGAAATTTCCGGTGTCTCTGTTGAAATCAGCCACCAAATTGAGAGTCCTAATGCTGAAATTGAATAGGCCGAAACAGAAGGATGAGAAATTAGAGCGAAATCCAAGGCAGAAAACTCAAATTCGAGGAGAGAGGATGTTTTTCAGGGTGAAATTGAAGGTTGAAGAAGTGAAGATTAGGTCATTGTTTAAGCGAGACACCAGTACAAATTCGAACGCCGATGAATCAAGCTCAGGATCATCAGAGGAGAGAAAATCTTCAAAAGAAACGATTCGCAAATACTTGAAATTGGTAAGGAGTTCGGGGAGCTTGAGCTTTTCCGGAGGTGCAACTACGGCAGGTGCATGTCATTTGCCGCCGCAGTCTACGGCGGAAATTCTGGAAACAGAGCCGACGGAGTGTTCTGAGAAGGCGGCAGTGCTGAGAAACGCCAGGAGACAGAAGCGAGTGGCACCGCAAGCCCTGGTGAAAAGCCGATCGGCGTCTTCGGCGGTGGCCGCTGCGCCGGTGTCATCTAAGCGGCTTGACGACTCGTTGAAAGAGCAAAACGATGGTATTCAGGGCGCCATTTTACATTGCAAGAGATCTTTGAACGCTTAAATCTTAATTAACAAGTAAAGAATTCTTCTAAGGAATAATACTCCGTAATCGTTATCTCTAATCCGGTTGAACTTGAGTTCACTGGGACGGTTAATCGGCATTTACAGGGATGTCTTGCTCAGGAAGGTGTTACATGTTGTAGTTGTTCGATCTAAACTCAGTAATATTCCTCAATGGCACACTCTATCAATGGATTGACTCAAGTACACCACTTGGCAATGTATGTAAATTGATTATAGGAGTATTGTTTGGGTGTATGTAAATGTTTGTTACTCCCTCCGTCCCATATTTATCTCTTGAAGTACAAATGACACACGGATTAAGATAGTGAGAAATGTGTGGTGGAGAGTTGTGCAGAGGAAAGAGAAATGTGTAAGAATATGTAAAAGTGGTTGTAAACCACAAATTCTTTACTAAAAAGGGAAAGAAGAGATAAATTTGGGACAGACCGAAAAGGAAAATATGAAGATAATTCCGGGACGGAGAGAGTACAATAAAGTTTGACACTATATTAAACGGAAAAGTAATAAGGCTAATGTATACTCCCTCCGGTCCTTAATTAACTGTACACTTTCCTTTTTGGATCGTCCCATATTAAACATTACACTTCCTTTTTTGCCTTATTTGGCAAACAAATCTACACCAAACGATGTTAAATAGTGCAAAACAGTGTCAAACAGTGTCAAACAATGTACTCTACAGTAAAATCAAATTTATTTTTTAATATGTGTGAAGTCAAAGTGTAAACTTCATTAAGGACCGGAGGGAGTAGTATAGAAAAGAAATGAAAGATAGCGGAAAGTTGTGAAAGATATGATAAAAAATAGAAAATGTAATAGTAATCAAGTATTTTAAAGGAGGGAGTGTAGCAAAAATTATAGTAAATCCGAAAACATACTCTGTACCGTTCTTTGCGAAATAGAATCATACTTTGTATGTTTGATTTTTCTTAAATAAGAATAAACATTACATTTTTCCCTATTTCCCTTCCATAATCAAGGTCAGTTCATTGGTGGCGGCGGTGAACACAAGCGGCGAATTCCGATAAAAAGTGGCGGTTTGAATTTAAAAGTCTATGGAGTATATAATTACATATTGTTGAGTTTAAGTCCCGAATGACCCGAAGGCCCACCACCAACCTTGGATCTAGGGTAGGGTTGCTACAGTAAAGTGTATAAAGAAATATAAAAACTGATTGATTCACTCAAATAGCCATGCTTCTATTAACGCAGTAATGACAATTACACAGAAACGGCTGAACGACAGTTACGGTCCGAATGCTAATACAAGAGCTAGAATGCAATATAAACCAGTGAGTAAACAAATGCTAATTCTTTACAATGAAATAAATGTTGTTCTTTATACTAGTTGGGGGTAGGTGAGGGGTATGATGTGATCTATCATGATTGGCTGCTTTCCAAGCCACTTGTGTACACATGCTCCCACTTGAGACCTCCATACTCCAGCATTGAATGCAGCCTGCCACTTGGGCGAATCTGCGATCGGTATTAAGATCCGCTAGGCTAATGATCCGGAAGAGCAATAATTGTCCAAGTATTAATTACATCCCGTTCGGGATGTGCTGAACGGAAGTTTCTCTTAAGCCACTGAACTCCCGTTCGAGGCCATCCATTCCTCCTTGGACGCTTCCCGTTCACCGGGCCTTAGGGATATTTTGGGTCGATATATTTGGGCTGAACTTTAATATCCCATCACATATGAAGTATATGACTAAAATAAAATGTTTTTACAAAAATGTTAAATGTGACATTTTAAATTCAATGAATATAATAACAACTTTAGTCAAGTAACTTGTTAGTCCCTGTTTTCTATTACAGCAATGAATAACAGTATAACAAGAAGAAGATTAACAGAAAAGATGAACACTGATAGATCGATGTAAACCTTCCTTGATATACCGTGAAATCGTACAGAGAAGTATTTGCACTAAGGCTATTTTGATCGAGTACGAAAGTTAACGCAACCCTAAGCCTGAGTCGCCTTTTTATATGCGCAGGTATAGGGTTGGCGTAAAAGGCTTTCAGCCTGATATGGGCCTGACACTTGGTCCCATATTCTTAACCTAATAAATACACATATTGAATATAAGGAATAATAATAAAGCTAATCTATTACAAGATAGGTGACAAACTTGATTCACAATTAAATGATCTTCAACATAACTTATCTTCAATTTTTACACTTACATGACTATAAGATTATAATATAGTAACTATTCATCATACTTTTGCAAATGAGTTTCATTATGATAATCTTTTGAAACAAATCAGCCAAAAAATGGTTGATAGGCTATTAACCAAACACCCCCATTGTCAAGATTATTCAGCCGCTAGTCCTCAGGAATGCAATGTTATTTTTGTTTGTTGCCAAGAATGTGATTGAATTTAACCTTTTTTGTTGAGAGGAAATCGCCTATATTGATATCTGATGGAGTATATGGCCCGGGAACCCCCGGTCCACAGACTCCTACTACTCCAATAAAGGCCTAAATCACAGCGCCCAGAGTACCAAGCGGCCCACAATGCGCGCTAGGGGTGCCTTCGGCCCCCCTGGCCGAAGGCTCCAATTCTCACAGGAGGATCAAATCAGGAAAACAAAGTTACTGGGAGAAAACGGCGAAAATCAGTAGCCCTCGGCACCTAGAGCCCTCGGCACTAAGGAGGTCCCCGGTGCTCAGAGCCCTCAGCTAATCATCTGCAGCCGAGGGCACCTTTTCCGACATGATATCCGCTCCACATGCGCATGGATCACCGTACCAAGTACGACGTCACATCCAACAGCCGCATTAAATGCGGCCACATGCGATTGCCAGCGCCAACCAGTTGAGGTGACCCCTCGGCCAATGGATGCTTGACACGTGTCCCTATCTGACATTTATTGCTACTATAAATAGCACCCCATTTCCCCGTTGTAAACCACGCCCAAAAAAGGCCTTAACTTACATATTCAATACACTTTCTCTCTCTTACTTGCTCTGACTTCTCTCTAGTTATTCTCCGTAATAACCCCTCAGATAGATACCCCCCGGGTATACTATCCATCATTTGGTGCTCTCGTTGAGAGGTCGAACAATCAAGTAAGAAACCCTCCCCCTCGACCAAACACAAAACACCTAGCTAAAATGGTGAGAACAACTCGTGCCAACTCCAAGAATGTCGAGGACAGGAACCTGACCCTCGGCGAAGTCGACGTCCCCGAAGCCTCTAACAGGGCTCCCGGGGGCGGCGTCATCGCCGGGTTGGACCAGACGGCTGTCGACCTACGCCAGCAGATTCAACAGAATGCCCCCGATGCCCGCCTCGGCATCGAGGCCAAGAAAAAGGACCGGAGCGAGAACCAAATTAGCCCTCCGGTCATCACAATCGACGTACAATCGGCGTTTTCCGCCTTCATCCAAAAGCTCACCCAGAACCCGGGTGCCTTCGGCACTTTGGTTCCCCTCCAACCTCAGGTCGGGGAGAATATTATGCCTCCCCCTCATCCACACCCCTCGGGAATCCGGTCCTCCGGATTGGGAACGCCGAGGGTGTCGCGACCCAAGATACGGCCTCCCAGGAAGTCCAGTCCCAGGACCGCCACAACGTGAACAAAGAACAACTCCGGACCTCCGCCCTCAAGAGACTCGGAGGGGCGCAAGACCGCCGAGGGGTCCAAGACCGCCTTGGGGGGAAGGCGTTCCAGAGGCCTCAGGAAAGTGGCGGATCCGTCTCCAGGGCCAATGAAAGGCGTCCCCCTCAGGACAAAGGCAAGGCAACTCTCCATGCCAACGATGCCCGTCACCAAATCAACCAGGCCCACTTGGTCCGTGTCCATTTGCAGGGGGCGGAGGCCCTCCCGAAGGACCCCCAGGACGAAATCTTTGCGGCCCTCCAGCGCTGGCTTGACGAGATGGAGGCCACCAAAGCACACGCCACCACTTCTGCCCCTCATACGGACCTAAAGTATGAGGCCATGTTGGCCAAGATGGAGGAAATGCAGAGGAAGATAACCGAGGGCTCCGGAGAACCCACCATATAGCTCCGGACCCGGACGCCATTCACCCCAAGGGTATTGGCGGCCCGGATCCCGGAGAAATACCGAGGGCATCTCATCAAGCCCTACGATGGAAAAACTGACCCCCAGGAGCACTACAACAGATACCAAAACAACATGATGATGGTGGGGGCATCGGATGAGTATTTGTGCCGCTGGTTCCTCTCCACCTTAGAGGGGTCGGCTTACGAATGGTTCAATCGATTGCCCGAGGGCTGCATTGACTCATGGAAAGAACTCGCCCGGCGATTTTTGACGCAATTTGCGGGAAGACGCCGCACAAGGAAGCACTTCTCCCACTTACTGACAGTGAGGCAGAAGAAGGAGGAGACCCTTCGGGACTTCTTGGAGCGCTGGAGAACGGAGGCTGATAAAGTTGATGGCGCCGACGACGGGACCCTCCAAACAGTACTCCGCCCCGGGAACTTCTCAAGGAGCCTCATCATCGAACCCCCCCCCCCCCCCGCGATTATATAAGGGCCCTACAGCGGGGGGACCGGTATGCCGAAGCCGAGGAGGTAGAGAAATGCCATCACGTCCCGGATCAGCAACGCCCTCGGCCAGACGACAGAGGAAACCGGGGGCCGGGGGCTCCCCGTAACCAACCCAAGGATTCTGCCCCCTCCGGTGATCGCCCCCGGCATGGCCAAGCCAAGCCCGGGGAGGCTACAAGGGGAACCTAAGGGCTTAGGTGCAACCTTTTCTCCTGGAGCACCCTCGGACACCTTTGACGCACCCCGTCAGCGTCATTCTTGATTTTGCTGAGGAGAGGGGCCTGGTGGAGCGAGATTCACACGCACCCCCGGAAGTATACGCCATCAATCCAAACTACCCCTACTGTCGCTTCCACCGGCACCAGGGGCACAGAACCGATGACTGCCATCAGCTGAAGACGGCCATCTGTCCCAGTTTATCCAGGGCCCTCAACAACAGACCCCCCCTCACTAAGGGCCACCTCGAGGGCACCCTGCGAGAGCAAACGCGTGGGTAAACCCCAACACCATCCCCCTCGGCAAGAAGAGGGAGATTGGAAACCTGGAAGATGAGGAGGAGGAGTAACCCCAGTACCAAGAAAAGAAGCGCCACTTCTCATGATCACCGGGGGCAATACCGGGGGGACTCTACGAGTCAACGAAAGAAGTGGGCTTAATCACTTTACGTGGGGGAAGTCACTTATATGCCCCCAGTAAAGCGGCTGAGGGAGGAGCCCATCACCTTCACTAACGCTGATCTCCCCCCAGTGTCCTCCCCACACA